CCAGATCTCCCTACTCTCCCTGGTGTACTTTTACAGTCTGCTTGTTGCTTTACTGTCTTTATATCTATCTTTTGGTTTGTCAGTTTATAATGTTTCTTAATGTCCATAAATGAGTGAGGCCATGTGGTATTTCTCTTTTACTGACTGGCTTATTTCACTCAGCATAATGTTCTCTAGTTCTATCCAGGTTGCTGCAAATGATGAGAATTCCTTCTTTTTTATGGCAGCATTGTGTAGATGTACCATAGTTTTTTGATCCAATCATCTGCTGATGGGCACCTAGGCTGTTTCCAGATTTTAGCTATTGTAGATTGTGCTGCTATGAACATAGGGGTGCATATATCCTTTCTGATTGGTGTTTTTAGTTTCTTGGGATATATTCCTAGGAGTGGGATTACTGGGTCAAATGGGAGTTCCATTTTCAGTTTTTTGAGGAAACTCCACACTGTTCTCCACAATGGTCAAAGTCATTAATGTTTTATTGCTTTTAAACCTCAGAGGTTGAGAGCATGAACCTGAAGACAGACTGAAAAAAATTTCCATTTTGGATTCTTGCTAATGGTCCTTGGGCAGAACACCTGTCCTCTCTAAGTTTCAATTTCCTCTTGAAATGAGAGGAAATAAGACATTACATGTGTAGGAATTTGCCTAGGGCTTGATTTATACTAAACATGCAATAAAATGTTAGCTATTATCATTTATTCTCTCTATTGAATCAGGAACAATTTTATGTCAGAAACTCTGGGGGTTTTTTTCCACCTATCCTGCCAACCCCCTTCCCGATTATCTGCACAACCATCAAAATGTTCTCTGAATCTATGAGTTAAGAAACTCATTTTTTAATCCAATGCAAAAACAGGGTCATGTATATAGAAAACATTTAATAAACATATATTTAATGAACCAAATAAATGTTTTACAGCACTTCACTGAAATTTTATTTTTTTAATATATTTTATTAATTTTTCACAGAGAGAAAGAGAGAGGGATAGAGAGTTAGAAACATCGATGAGAGAGAGAAACAGAGATCAGCTGCCTCTTGCACACCCCTTGTTGGGGGTGTGCCCACAACCAAGGTATATGCTCTTGACCGGAATTGAACCTGGACCTTTCAATCCACAGGCCAACGCTCTATCCACTGAGCCAAACCGGTTTTGGCTTCACTGAAATTTTAAAACAAATTAACAGTAAGATTAGCAAAATTAAATCACATGCACAAAATCTAAATTAATTCTAAATACACACAAATCATCTAAAAAGAGTAGAATTCAGGCAAAGACATACTTGTGCCATGAAAACTGCTTGCTAACATATAACTAGCTAGGTTACTCTCCTACCCACTCTCCCCTCCCGCCCCTCCATACACAAACCCCAACCGGAATATGAGCTTAGCTGTCATCTATGGCTCATATTCAAAAGTAGACATTTGTGAATTAAAAAGCAACTTAACATTTCTTTCTGTTTAAAATCCTTTCCACAGACCACTCAGTACTCTGTAAAAAGTTTAATGTGAAACTCCTAAACTATATAGGGAACTATGCAATCTATATTTAATATTCCTACTTTTAATAGATATCAAAAATATTTTTTAAAGTGACAAAAAAGAGATCATGCTCTCGGATGCAGTACTTCTCTTTCAAGGATCATCTTAAAGGGGGAAATGGGAGCTATAGAAACACAGATGGGCACAACAGTGCTCATTGGGATGTTAATTTAAAATTGTAAGGAATCTCCTCGTGTATAAAATATGGGATGGTCTGCAGTACTTTAAGACAAAATAATAGAATAGTTTTTAATGATAGTGGGGGATTCACAATGTTGTAAGTGAAAAAACAAGATACAATGTGATATAAACAGAAGGCCATTTATCTCCATTTTAAGGCATTTTTTCCGTAGCAATAGTATTAGTCATGGTGTTCCCCTGTTGTCCCGTGTGTTTTTAAATATCCTACAAGAAATATGAGTTAATTTAATAATGTGTTTTATAGCCATGTTTGCTCTGATCTATAAGAACCACAAAATGTGTCTAATTGAAAGATAAAGTCTTTTTTTGAAAACAATTTACTGTGTTGTAAAACTGAAATTGCTTTGTACAAAGCAGTGCACCCTTTTACCATCACCCACCGAATATCTCAGTCAGTCTGATTCCCTTGTGTGCTAGTAGTCAGCTTGAAATGGTACGTATCACAGTCCCCTTTGGGGGAAGAAAACAAAAAGTAGTAGGACTAGGAATGTGGAGGGAAAGGGGAGTAGGGAAGTCTATAAACTTCTATTTTAAAATAAGCCTATCTTGATAGCATCCTCGGGTTCTTTAAAACATGGTATTAAATATTTACTTTTCACAAAATGTATTATAGCTGGTCCTCAGTGTTTGCTCCCTTGAAAACAATTGTATCCTTACATTCACCAAGTTAAACTGTGAACCACAAACAACTTCTATTATCACAAGATGTCAGCTAAACATAAACTGTATCTCTATTTTTATAAACATTTACATACAAGTTGGTGATATCGTCATCATGACCTGAATCTTAAACCTCATTTTCAAGCAGTAAAGCAAAACTAATTAATTTCCCATGTGATCCATTAAAAGGCACCCGTGGGAGGATTTTTCCCCCCAGAATTCACATTCACGAAAAACCTTTTGTGATCTGTAGCATGCGTACTACACTGTGAGGGCCTAGCAGGGGTCTTCAAACTACGGCCCGCGGGCCACATGCGGCCCGCAGAGGAGTCTGATCTGGCCCGCCAGGTTTTTTGGGCAGTGAGCGCAGCCGAGGTGTTACAGTAGGAATTAGTAGTTCATATAGTCCGGCCCTCCAGCTCTCTGAGGGACCGTGATCTGGCCTCCACTTTAAAAAGTTTGAGGACGCCTGGCTAGGGGCTCTCATCTTCAGTCCTGCATATGTGGGTAGTGAACTGGCATATCACCAGCAGAGTTGCCAAGGTGTGGCCAGTCTGTCCACTGATTTTCCAGGGTGATAATGGATTTGCATTGATTTAGATTCCATGTTTGGTCTAGGCCCTCAGAGGACGGATGGCTAGCATGCACCTGGAGTGGGCGTGGGCCTGGAGAGCAGACCAGAGCATGCAAAGCTGACTGTCTCACCTGGTGACTGAATGACAGACTTTATAGAGATGAACTTGACCTCATTTGTTTAGTGTTCTCACCAGCTGAGCTAACTCATCTTTTAAGCTAGAATTACACAAGTTAGCACAGCTTTGCAGAATTTTATTTTCCTTTTTAGAAGAATTACCAGCATTAAATGCCTCAAATATTTCCTATCATATTATGGACTCAGAGAAGCTTTATAATAATAAAGGCTGCTATGACATTATTGTCATAATAATATTTCAAACATATTTAAGCATATCAGGACTATGAAACAGTAATTTTTTACACACTAGAAGTGAAATTTAGAGCACAATGAAACAGTGAATGTTTGAGTGGAAAGCAAAAACAATAAAAACAAATCCACAGCAATTGCCATTTTTTATTAGTCACTGGTATGTCAAAGGTCTAAAGTTAGGTAATTAGTAATGCCATCACGTGGCAAAAAGAGAAGTAGGCCTGGCCAGTGTGGTTCAGTGGTTAAGCATCAACCCAGGATCCAAGAGATTACCGGTTTGATGCCCAGATTTCAGACTTGATCCCCAGGGAGCATACAGGAGGAGGCAGCCAATTTGATGATGTTTCTCTATCATTGATGTTTCCATCTCTCTATCCCTCTCCCTTCCTCTCTCTACAAACAATCAATGAAAACATTTTAAAAAAATTACTAGAAGGGGAGTCTGGAACCCTGAGAACAAGTCCTGGCCATCATTATGTAACATGATGATATGTCACAATTATCAGTTTCTTTATTTGTAGAATGGGAAGCTGGGCTTGACACATCTAAGAGTCCCCAAGTTGGAAATACTATTAAGAATCCTCATTCTTGTAAAAATTGTATAAATCATATGTTAAATATATTTTGTAATCTGGTTATTTTTAACCCATGACAAAGATAGAGCTGCTAAAGTAAGTGTTTTTTAAGCAAATATCCTATATAATAAAGAGGTAATACGCTAATTAGACAACCTTTCAGAGGAATCCGGAGCCGAGCCCTTTTCATGAATTTTGTGCATTGGGCTTCTAGTTTCTAAGGAGAGAAAAAATAAAACTGTATGAAATAGTTTTAAAGAGCTGTTTTTCTCCTTCTAGAAAGAGGCAGTAACTCCTGAGAAATACAGAATATAGTTTCTCAAAGTAATTATTTCAAATTATCTAGAAATATCATTTCCTTCCCTCCCTCTCTTTTACTGTGAAAATGTCCTGGCGTAAGTGTAAAAGAGAATCCAGAATCTCATCTCATAAATGTCTGTCTTCACTTCATGGCACTGCTCTCTGAAGGCTAGAGGACTGAACAGGTTTTGGAGCAGGAAAAAAGCACTTACCAAACTGTTTTTAACCTTGTAAGTCCTCATGGTGTCTCTTTCAGTGCAGACTTCAGAGAAAACTTAAATGGAAAGCAGAAATGATATGAACGATTCCCAAATAGAGATGCAAAGCCTCGAATGGCCTCAAGAATGTTAAGCCCCGTGTTGGAACCTTAGGCCGAAAGGGATAAGAGTAAAACAAAATCCCTAAGGAAACAGTCACAGTTCATTTGTTCTTTTTTTACATCCACTTTAATTAAAAAAAAAAAAACAAAAAAAAAACCCAGAAAACAAAGATATGTTATTTCTAATTAAGTATCGAGGGAAGTATAATCCACCTATGCTGCCAATCAAAATATTTTAAAATAATTTATCATTTGTGATTTGCTCATTTCAATGAAGCTTTTCTCCACCTCTGAAAAAAAAGCATCTTGAATCTATGGAGCTCCAAATTTTATCAAATGTGCTTCTAAGTCTACTTATTTGGTAAAAACGTCTATTGGCTACAAGGTACAAATGTGCCTTACAGGTCACCATAATTACACGTGGCAGCAAAATTTATGGTAGGTACATATGCACAGTGGGCAAAAGTAGGTTTATAGTTGCATTATGACATTCTTTTGAGTAAATAGAGCTATTGTGCTAATCATAACCTGCGTGCCTTTTTCCATATGAACAACAATAAAGCTACTTTTGCCCAGCCCTGTATAAATGCTGCAAACTAAAGGGTTATATTGAAAGGGGCAGGGAAGGGGGGGTGACTTACAGTTCAGGATCAATAGCTATATTACCCTAAAATCTTACCACTTTAAGTAGAGATTTATTGGACTTTTTATAGCTTTTAAAATGGATAGATTTATCAAGTGCTTAAATTTTAAAGTACAAGTATCTCCCACTCTTTAAAAGTTTGTGTTAGGCTGCGTCACTTTTAGGAATGACCTACGTGGGTACTGAATCCCACTAACCGAAAGAAACCCAAGGAGGACCTTTGGCTTTTAGATGAATGGTCATTGCTTCTTCACTTTGTAGCACTTCAGCCTAGGAAACGCTTCATAGGAACATTCTACTTTCAGATAGCAGGGGAAACCTATATCTTTCTAACTTTCTTTAAGTGAAGTTTATATAAACGATAAGTAAAGGGTGTTTCCTTTGAAACCTTCATTAAGCTGAGTAATAAAGTGTATTACCAACCAAAACATATCTTAAAAAGTAGGTTACTGGTAGTTTTCTAGGATAAATAATGCATAATGGATCAGTGTTTAAAACAAGTACACTTAGCCTGCCTGGTGTGGCTTAGTGGTTGAGCATCAACTCACGAACCAAGAGGTCAGGGTTCAATTCCTGGTCAATAAAAACATATTAAAAAAAAAAAAAAAAAAAAAAAGGTATACTTTAAGTGATACTTTCTTTTTTGTTAAAACTCAAGTCTTTATGATTTTATTGTTATGTTTTTTTCATTATTGTTGATTTTTAGAGAGAAAGAGAGAGGGAGAGAGAAACATCAATATGAGAGCAAAACATGGATTGGCTGCCTCCTGCTCTGACCTGGAATCTAACAGGCAGCCTTTTGGTGCACAGGGATGACACCCAACCACCTGAGCCACACTGGCCAGGGCTAAAGTGATGCTTTTAATTTCATTTTTCCTGAATCTCTTGTACTTATTGGATGTACATAGCACCTATCTTCCAGAGAACTCTGAATGCCTTATAAGGTTATAGACTTAAGAACATTATGACTGTACAATAACAATTGTTTTCAAACAGTAATATTTTTACCTTAAAAAGGACCTATGCCATATATTGGAATAGAAAGGAGTGACATGATAAAAAAGAGAGCCATGGCAAATGGGAAAGTTCATAGGAAGAAACAAGGCAATGAAAAAGAAGAAATCATAACTTCAAAAAGGTTATCCACGGAACAAGTGAAAACACTGCTTTCTTTTATCACAGATTCTGCTTCAGGGAGTTAATAGAGAGAAAAGCCAGACTAATGAATCTACTGCTTTCTTGGATTTAAGATAAAGCTTGCTTTTTTTCCTAAAATATGTTTTTATTGATTTTTAGAAATGGAGGAAGAGGGATAAAGATATTATAGAAACATCAATGAGAGGTGAATATCATCGATCGGCTGTCTCCTGCACACCTCTCAACTGGGAATTGAACCCTGACCTCTTAGTTCCTGGATGGACACTCCACCACTGAGCCAGACTGGCTAGGCAAGGCTCACTTTTTAACTGTTAGGCTATCACAGGATGCAGAAATAATTCTTCTGAATAGAAACTATAAATACTACAATTTGGTGTTGTCTACAAATTTTTAGACTTACCAATAAACGCCCATCAGCAGTTTATTCCTAAGATGTGTACTCTTACTACATGTTTTCACTATTTTTGGCAAGCTAATATCTTCATCATTTTTTGGAAGTAAGCTAGTTGGGCAGCTAGCTAGTTTATGAATTCCTGATGAAAAATTAAAATGTTTAATGGAATTTTAAATACCATATATATAAACTTTACTCAGGTAATTATAGGATTTCAAGTATAACCATAAATAATCAATTCTGTAATATTTCATAAGATAAACCTTATTAAAGTTAATATAGTTAAAACATCATATTCTAACTATTTAGTCTAATCTACACATTACTGGGCTTTTTTGCCCTATTTTGAAAACTTCTGAATTTAACTCAAAAAAGGATTAGGCAAAGATTTCTAGAACCCAAAGTAGTATCTAATCCTTTTTCACTTATGAAAATAATATTTCAAATATAAGACACTGAAGAAGGCCCTAAGACATGCTGATGCAAGTTCATTACACTTTAAGTTAAACAATAATGGCTAAATTAAAGTCACTTTATAGAACAGCTTGGAGATGAATGGAATTTACTTCTAATTGGAAAATAACTGTGAAAAAATTTTTGTCTATTTATTGAGATTATCAATTGATTCACTAATTGCTTTATTTACACTTAAGTGTGCTTTATTTTTCGCAGAGATGTATATACCAACACAGAGCTTAGCTAAAATAAAAATATCCCCAAATTCTTAAAAACTGAATGGAACACAAGAACCTATGATTATTAGTTGAGACACTTGTTTGTGCATGTAGACATTTATCTCAGGCTTTTTCCTCAAATGCGTATCCTATCATAACATTGTTTAAAACATATTTAGTAGGGTCTCTGATAAAATTATCCAGCCCTCCTGGCGTGTCTCAGTGGTTGAGTGTCAACCTATGAACCAGAAGGTCACAGTTTGATTCTTGGTCAGGGCATATGTCCGGGTTGTGAGCTTGATCCCATGTGGAGGCAGCCAGTCAATGATTCTCTCTCATTATTAATGTTTCTATTTCTCTCTTCCTCTCTGAAATCAATAAAAATATATTTTAAAAAATACAGAACAATTATCCAAATATATTTTTAAATATTCTCCAAAAAAATCTAAATTACAATTTACATTATGATCTTTAAAAAAATTAATTTATTTTAAAGTCTTTGATTTTAGAATATTCTATCTTTAAAACATTTAGTTTTCATACATTTATTTGTATTTGTTTCATACTCTATAAACACCCAAATTTCATATGGAGAGGTTTATTAAGTAATTTTGTTCTATCCTAAAAGCATACTCTGGAAAAAGTCCCAAACTGTGAACTGTTTATTATACAGGACTGTTCCTTCTCACCACTTTATAATGCTCTGACACAATTGTTTCTGAAATAGCATTAATTTTGGGACCGTAAGTCTTTTCACATGAATATTCAAATTCTCTATTTAAATCTTGAAAGGATCCACCATCTCAAAATTATCTCCAAAATCTACTTATGTAAGATATTGCTCCAGTTTCATTCTCAGCTATGACACCTTAAATATCACTGGAACCAAGACCACTCAGTAACACTGTCCCTAATCCTTTATTTCAAATAGCAAACTTGAACACAACTGTAATTCTTTTAAGAATCTTTATTGAATTTTTTAAACAATTTAGCCTGTTGGATCTCAATGCAGCTTATAAAACAACTTGCATATAGTTTCATATAAACTGCAATCAAAAAAAGTAATTTACTTTCTCAAAGGAGTTATCTGAAGTTGCAAGTTACTTTTTGTAATATGCAGAACAGTAAAATTATAAGCATGCTCTCGGATGCAGGTGCTCCTGTGTACTACGGAGTTACTTTGAAGAGCTTGCTAAGGTCTGCAGGCAGTTTATGGAATGCAATCATTTTCTTCACAATTTAGGTACATGAGAATAAAACTGATACTTATGAATAGAATATTTTTTTTCTGAAAAAGTTGAGGCAGCTTTTGTTGAATGCTATCTGTATTGGTACACTTGTTACATTTTGTACTAACAGAAACAGACAGCCAGGTGTCCATGTTCATGCTGAAACTTGAGAAGTCCCTCCATACATGTTGAGTTCCAAGAAAGGAAAAAGGGTTAAAGACTATGAGATTGTTAGTCATCATCTTACATGAATGGACCACACCGAGACACTTTACATGACAAGGGAGCAAATCCCCTTCCCTGCGTTCAGTCCAGGCCGGTGTTATTTACAGTGGAGGGTGGAGGTGGAGCAAGCCTAGGACAGGATAAAGCTTAATGAAGTCTACGACTCATGCACAGCTGTCCTTGTTCTGGCCTCGAACGCTGCTCAGACATCCGAGTTAGAACTGAGGTTGGTTAACCTGGGGTCCGCATTGATCTCGTATCTGTAATGATAACCTTCCATGTGATCCCTGCAGGCATCTCTGATGTTATGCATCCACTTTTTTATCCCCTTGCGGTTCAAATACAAAACCAGTAGGAAAATGGCACCGATCAGGGCTAACACGATACCGAGGAAGACATAGGAAGTCTGCAGGGACGGAGGGAGGATAGGATCGCAGTCCAGGTCGGAGCTGTTGAGTTCCAGGAGGACCCGGTTCCTCATTTTCTCCGGGAACGCACAGGTGAGCCTGGCTTTTCCCTGCACCACCTCCGTCTCCTTGAGCCAGGCCACCATGTCCCCCATGTGGCAGTCGCAGACCCAGGGGTTGTTGTCCAGGAAGACCTTGACCTGGGGTAGGCCCTGCCACTCTGCCAGCGTGCCGTTGTGCAGCGCCTTGAGGGCATTGTCTTCCAGGTGGAGGCTTTCCAGGTGCGTCAGGTTGCGGAAGGACAGGTAGGTCAGGCTCACCAGCGAGTTGTTGCGCAGGTCCAGGTGCCTGAGGCTGGGCAGCTGGGCCAGGACATCCTGGGGCAGGTAGACCAAGGCGTTGCTGGCCAGCTCCAGGCGGCGGAGCCCGCGCAGCGCCGGGCCGCCGGCTCGCAGGGCGGCCGCCACCATCCCCTCGAAGCTGCGGTTGGCGTGGCGCTCGTCGTCATCGGGGGGCACGATGTGGTTCAGGAACAGCTCCGCCAGGGGCCCGGGGGGCGAGGAGGCGCTGGCGTTGGTGATGCCCGCGAAGGCCGCAGGGCTGAGATAGGCCAGCGGGTTGTGGCTGAGGTCGAGCTGGCGCAGGCTGGGCAGGTGCTCGAAGGCGCGGGCGCGCACCTCCTGCAGGCGGCTGCCGCTGAGGTTGAGCGCGGCCAACTCGGCCAGCGGCGGGCGGCGGGCGAAGGCGCCGGCGGGCAGCGCGCCCAGCTGGTTGCCCGTGAGGAAGAGGGTGCGCACGTAGGCGGGCAGGTCCGCGGGCACCTCGCTCAGGTTGCGGTTCACGCACTTGACGGTGCGCGCCGCCTCGGAGCACTCGCAGGGCGGGGGGCATTGGCTTGGCAGCGGGGGCTGCGCGGACACCGCCCCTAAGGACCCCGAGGAGGCAGACGAGGTCGCCGAGGAGGGGAGGGACGAGGAGGAGACCCAGCCCAGCAGGACCAGCGCCAGCCGCGCCAGCCGCAGCCAAGCGTCCCCCGCGGCCGCAGCGGGGCCACGGGCGCAAGCTCCAGGCATCCCGGCGCGGGGCTCCCCGGAGGGTCTCCCCGGAGCTGGCCTGGGACGGCGCCCGCTTCGAAGGCTCGAAAGCTGGGCCCCCCGAGGGCGCGGGTTAGCAGGGAGCTTCCGGAGAAAACTTTCCTCTCCTGGGGGGGGAGGGGGGGAAGGAGCGAAGGGGGTGCGCCGCAGCCGGAGCTTGGCTCAGCTGCCCCTGGCTCCGGGCGTCCCCCTCCCGGGGCGATCCCCCCGCCCCAGGCCACTAGCAAGTACGCACGGCGGCTCCGGACGCCCCACTCGCGCTCCTCTTCCTGCCGCCACCCCCGGTGGCACCACTCGCCTCTGTGCTCGGCGCCTCACGCCGGATCCGCTGCAGGACCTGGGACCGGCGGGGAGAGAAGCGTGAGGATCCGCACCCGAGTGCAGGAACCGATCTGTCCAAGTCAAGGGGTCCCACCCTATCCCCGGGACCTCCCTCCCAAAGCCCCGGAGCGCCTCTCCTCCCCCCGCCCCCCGAGTCCCCAGTCCCCAGCACATCCTTACGCAGGAGAGGGGCGCGCATCCCGAGACTTGAGTATCAAGACTTCCTCCCGCCCTGGCCCGAGCTATAGATATTTATATCTCCCCGGCCTCCCGCCCGCCTCCTTTCGCCAGCAGACTTGTGCCTCCTGCGTAACTTCTTGCTTAATCCCCAGCGCCTTCCCGACCAAACTTCTCACTCTTCTTACCCCCCGCCCCCCACCCCTCCGCCTCCACGGACGACCTGCCTTCCGGGTCTCCGCCCCCACGCGGACTTCTCCCGGGCCAGGTTTGGAGGAGAGGCAAGTTTCAGGTTGCAAGAGTCTTTTGATCTCGCTTAGGCCCTCCCTCCCAGGGATAAGGAGGAATAAGCCCCCACCCCCTCTGTCCAGCTGTGTTCCCCCCCACCCCCCCTGCTCCCCCAGCCCGCGCCTCCGCCAGCCCCCGGGTCCCGGAGAGGGTTCCAGTCTCCTCCAAAAGGGAAGGGAAAGGCCGCGAACAAAGCGGCGGAGTGAGCCGGGACCTGGCGCTCCTCTCGCGCCCGGCGATGGGGAGGAGCGGCGGCAACGCCTTCCCGGTTCTCGCCCGCCGCGCGGCCGGCTCCCGGCTGCTCACCTCGGCGCCCGGCCGCCCGCAGGCTCCGGAGGCAACTCCGCGTCCCGCCGGAGTCCCGGCGACTTCCCGGCTCCGAGCTGCGCGTGCAGACTCCGCTCGCACCCCGGCCCGGGCCCAGCCTCCGCGGCCGGGAAAAACCAACCAGGGGGGCGGGGGAGGGCCGGGCCGGGGCGGGACCCCTCCTGCCGCGCGGCCAGGCTCCGTAGACCGCGGCTGGGAGATTTAGGAAGAGGGACTGGCCGGGGGACCTGGGCTTCGTGCCTCCTCCCGGTGGAAATGAAGGGGGAATATTCGGGGAAACGATGAGGGAATCCCTCTCTCCCCCCCGTCTCCGGCATCCTTGGGTGGTTCCTTATTTTGCATACTGTATTTACCTTGGACTGGAACAAAACCGCTAATGAAGCTCGTGGAATTCGCCCAGATTCGGGTACCCGGGGCGGCGTGGAGGTAGGTTCAGGCGCGACGGAGCAGCAGCAGAAAGAAATGAGCTGAGGATGCACAGCGGCCGCAGCTCAGCGCCCAGCAAACTGCAAGGGAGCGTCAGAAAAATCTTCCCGTCAAAGGGATACCTTAGAAGCCAACTTCTGATTTAGGTGTGATGAACGCACCCCGCCCATCCATCCTGCTTGAAGGGTTACGGAACTTGTGAAGAGAGAGAGAGCCAACTTTAAGATAGAAGAGGGCGGGAAGAGGGGGGATTAATGGAGAGGAGATTCATTCTTGATTCATTAGCTTTTCTCCTCGAAAATTAAAAGCAGAGGGAAGAAAAGGCAGCCAAAGCATCCTAGAAACAAAAGGCAAATAGCAACGTGGTGATTCATCGGGAAAGCGGACCCGCCCCCTCTCACCAGATGTGGCTGCGGTGTGTCAGTGCCAGTCAGTCACTAAAGCTAGGAGAGTTCGCAGGGGGGTGGGGGAGAGGGAGGCCGCCCAGGGAGATCTGAAGCTTGGCCTAAAGTCTGCTGTTGCCCTTGGGGGAGCTGGGCGGAGGAGGGGGTGCAGAGGTTGGAGCTGGAGAAGGGAATAGATTGAATGACTACTTCCTGGGAGGATGTTCTATTGGAGAGGTTTGGCGCCCTAAAAGCCCTGTCCTTGTGCTCTATCAATAACTATCTCCGTTTTCCCAATCAAATAATTTTCATGAGAAGGTGCTGGTTAGTTAGTTCAGGTTTCTTCATTTTGGAGAGAAAAGTGGGAATTAGAGAAAACAATTGGGAAATTAAGGTCCGGTAATCATATGATCAGATAAGGAATGCTGCAGTTTGCACACGTATTGTACTCTCAAGTTCATTCTTGACTACTTTCATGACAAGAGATAGTCTGCAGAGCCAATAGCAAAAGTGGCCCAGACAGGAGAGGGTTTGGAGGCTGCAGATATTTGAGCAAAGTGTCAGTTTTGTTCGTTTGTGTCTTCATCACGTTTTTCCAAATCCCCTTTTCTTGTTTTGAAAGGTGTCTTGCAACCTGAATATGAAACACTTTGGAAAAAAAAGAGTCTCAAAAGCTGTAGTCGTGTTCGGTATGCTGTAGTGGTGGTTATGTAAATCAGTACATGGGTTAAAATTCATAGATCTACATACACTAAAACAAAAGAGTCCTGTTTACTCTATGATAAATTTTAAAACAAAATTAATTACTTTGGGGGTGGGGGGAGGAACTGAAGTAATGCTCTGGCATGATATTCTGTGACAAGAGATAGTCTTATCCTAAAGATTATCTCAAGAGCAATTTCTCTGTTAAGAATGAGAAGCACTTCACAACTTAGAAAGGTTATATATATTTTCACCTAGTCCTCAAATCAACTCATCAATATAAATTAGTATTATTATCGTGTTGCTACTGATGGTGTTAACCTGTTCTACAAATGAAAACTCTGGAACCTTGAGTATTAACTGTCTTTTACTTGCCAAACCCTATGCCGATCACTTTATAGAAATTATATGATTGACTCTGCACATCAGTTCTCAGGGAGGCCCTCTCCCTCCAGTTTTACACCCGAGAAAATTGAGGCAAAAAAGTAAATAACATAGTGTAGTTCCCCCCTATCTGCTGGGGATGCATTCCAAGCAGGTGAATGCCCAAAACCCAGGATAATACCCAACCCCTCATTGTATTGTTTATACATGATAAAGTTTAATTTACAAATCAGGCACAAAAAGTGATCAATAATAATAGAACAATTATAAAACTATACTGTAATAAGATTTATGTGAATGTGGTCTCTCTCAAAATATGTTATGGTACTATACGCACCTTTTCACTCAAAGGAAGCACTCCACAGCTCCTCTTCGGCACATCTGCTTTGCCAGCCTTGCTACTGTTGCACGTTAAGGCCATTCTGAAATAAAATAAGAGCTGCCTGAGCACAAGCACTACCATATCTTGACAATGATCTGAAAACCAAGATGGCTACTAAGTGACTAAGGGGCGGGGAGCGTAGGGAGCATTGACAAAGGGATGGTTCTTGGCAGGATGGTGTGAGATTTTTATCATTCTGAACAGGCGCATGATTTAAAACTTATGAATTATTTGTCTCTGGAATTTTCTATTTAGTATTTTCCGACCTGGGTTGCCATGAGTAACTGGAACCTTGGAAAGGGAAACTGTAGATAAGGGGGTGACTACTGTAACTTTTTCCAGTGGATGCTGGAGGTGGGGACCGGGCCCAGATTTGCCTGCCTTTCGTGTACATCCCACATTCCATGTCCAGGCAAGGCGGAGGCACATGTGCAGAGCCCTACACTGCTCCTCCAAAGCTTCCTCCCTGGCTCTTTCCCCCTCTTTCCTTCCTCTCCCTCCTCCCTGCAGCTGGCCTTGACGTTGACTGCTGAACCAGGACCCACTTCTAACTCTACCACCCACCATGTGACTTCGACATACCTCTGTTTCTTAATCTGTAAAATAAGAACACTGCTAAAACTTGGGGGCATTTCCATGAGAGTTAAGATAAAGTATGGAGCACACTTAGCAAAACTATCTGGTGTTATTGTGCTCTCCTTAGTTCTTCTCACCATTTACGGTATACCCGCTATATCTCTGTAACTAGCTGTGCTAGTAACAATAGTATAAGGATGAATTGCTTATGGTCTCCTTAAATACAATTGTGAGATTTGACAAATAAAATTTCAGGATTCTAAATTAAATTTGAATTTCAGTGAGACAATATATATATATATATATATATATATATATATATATATATATATGTATGTATATATATTAGTATAAATATGTCCTGTGCCATATTTGGGATGTACCTATACTAAAATAATTCATTGTTTACATGAAATTTTAATTGAATGTTGATCATCCTTTATTAAATCTGGCAATAAAAGGACTTCATCATCTGGTGGGACAACCACAAAAACAAAAGCCTTCAATGCAGAAGGTAGAGTGCAGTTTCATGTGTGTGCACCTTTCCAATCTCCTCTATGTATATATTTTAACTTCTGTTTTTATATGAATGGGATCATAGAATTACCCATGACTTTTCTCACTTTAAAACAACCACATATCCTTTTATGTCCATACATATAGGTATGTTTTCTTCTTTATTAAAGACTGCAAAATAGTCCTTACTGTGGATTGTTACACCACATTTTTTTTAACTGCCCTACTAAAAGACAGATCAGTAAGCACTTTTTAAAGACGTTTCCTTCAACTGAGAAAAGCTTACTAGGATTAATTCTATTTTGATTGTCATGAGCATTTAATTATCCTATACTTGCCTTACTCTTGAAGGCTTGAAAATTTTTGCTCATAATGCTATTTACATGCTCTGGAGCAAGATAGGATTTCTGAGCACAGTTTTCCTCATTTATTCTTCCATTCCAAAATGAAAAGAAAGAAGGATCTGAATACCCAAATGGAGAAGAATCAAGTTAGTGCATTTCAATCAGTCACTGTGTGGCCTCCAGGAAAATGTCTCTGCACTATCATTTATTTAGCGGATTTCTTTTCCTACAGGAGCCATCTTTGTCCTAATGACCCAAAGGAAATTCATTAATAAATTATTGAAATTTTGCTGCTAAATCCTGGGAAGGCAAGAAATAATGTAATATATTTTAAAAAGATGAGTGATTAGGGCCACCCTCATGGTAACTAGCAGAGAAAAGCAATGTGATCCAGCATTCTTTAAGACTAGTTAATATCGGTGTCTGAATTAAATTAGCAGAGGAATTAATGAAGGTTAACACTCTGAAATCTGAAAGATATCTAAAACAAAATCAAGTATTGGTGAACATCAAGCACATATGCCGTAAAACCATGGATCAACACCTACAACCAGAACAGTTAGGTTGAGGGTTGATTTAGGGAGGAAAAAACAAACCAGTTACATATACAGTATATTATTTTATACACATATGCATGGAAAAATAAATTTTAAAATTTGTTAATGATTAAAAAGAAATTCTCATGAGTTTATTTCAAATCACTTTTGAAAGAAATAGGCTTCTTGTCTGAGGTATATAAATTAAGTAAAATATGTATTAGGGAATGGGTCAAAAACATTTGTTTCATGAATCAGTACAATGGGAGTAGAAGAAAATTATAACAAAGATATTTCAGAATTCACTGGGAATTAAATAATTACTAAAGAAAGAACAAAGCTAAAAGGCTATACAGTCCCTAGCCGATTTTGGATAGAGCCTCAGCCTGGCTTCGATTCTGGTCAAGGGCACATACATCATTTTAGGCTCCTAAGCTGGCCGGACCTTGGTCAGGGCACATGCAAGAGGCAACCAATCTGTGTTTCTCTCACGTTGATGTTTCCCTCTGTCTTTCTCTCTCTCTTCCACTCTAAATAAATAAATGGCAATAACAGACTGGAGAGATTAAAGTGGATGGATATATGTGATTCTTCAAGGATGAGACAATATTAAAAGGTAAAGAAAAACAACTGGCAGAACTTCCCAAGTAGCTAACATTAAAGGATCATTCAATTTTAAGTGTTCAACATTTTAAGACCTTACCATTTGCCCTCCACCTATTTGATGTCCTCAGGATATCAAAGTACATAAGATAAAAAGTCCTGCCATCAGGGAATTCAGAGACAGATCCTCTAACCGTCATAATACATATGGTATGTACAGGGGCCAAAGGAGGGGTGGCAAAGTGTCTGCAGAAGGCATCATTGTGGAAGTCAAGCTTGACTGCATTTGAATTCTTATCAAGAATTTGCCAGATTAAAAAAAAATAGGCAAGTTGGTGAAAAGACAGAGACCTTGTTCATTTCTGTACGCTAAGTGGGAAAGAGCACAGCAAACACTGGAAGGAGTGGTACAGGACAGATCTGAAATACGGTGGGATCAACTAATCCCCATGCTAAAAAGTTTGACTTCATCCTAGATTGCCTGGGAGCCCCTGAAGATGTGCATAGAGAATGACATGATCAGGTGGGCATATAAGAAAGAACACCTTTGCTACCTGTTTTGGGGTGAATTATAGGAAGAGAAGACTCAAGACAGGCAGAAAAGTTGACCGAGTGACAGATGTTAAAGAACCAAACTAAAGCAGCTGCAAAAGATTGTCAAGGTAGGACCAGATTATACAGATCAGTGGTTCTCAACAGGGTGACACTGCCCCTAGTGGGCATTTTGATATT